GGAAAGAGAGTAGCAATAGTTTGAAAAGGCAGAAATGGTGTTGCCCATGTTCCTCTGGAGAGGACATTCTATTCTGTGTGTGAATTTAATGCTGCAGAGGCTGTGCATTCATGTGATAAAAGACTGCATTTTATAGCACCTATGAGTTATCAGGGTGTTTTAGTTTCTTTGTCACTTTTGGTTTTGTTACGTTTCTGGCCTTTTGGTTTGTTTAATTTATTTTCTTCTCATTGTACAGATTTATTTCATAGAAAGAAAAACAAGGGGAAAAAGTGGGTCACACGGTGGAAGATTAAAGAAAATGTGCAAATGAGAAAAAATTAATACCAGTAGATATAGAGGAGAAACAGATTTTACAGGAGAAAGTGGCAAATTAAATGAAAAAGGAGAGAAAGCACAGTGGAAGAATAAAGAACTGCTTTCAGTAAAATGGTGTATTGAGTCCTAAGGGATCTATGGATATTAATTTTCACATAATTGGCAGAATATTTTTTTCAGTTCTACGCCACATCCTACTTTCACTTTGCATTCCTGAGTTTTATTGAACTGATTTGTTTCCACTTTTTCTAGCTTATAGATTTTGTTTTCAATTCATCAACCTTCTGCCCCATGTAATTTTCTCTTTCTCTTGCCATCATATTTCCATAAACCGGTATAATTGCTTTTAGAGAGAACAGTGAAATGCTATAAGTTTATCAGTGATGTAAAATAAATGGATATGGGTTATATTATTTAGTAAGTATAAAAGGAGAGCATTTGATAAGAAGAAACAAAATTTAAATGGTGCTACATATGCAAAAAATGCTACTGCCTTTGAAGTATTAAATGCACAGAATTACTCCTCTGAATTTAAAAATGTCCACAGCTATAGAAAACCAAATATCTCCTCAATCTTTTCCATTACTTTTCAACTTGTATTGCTCCATCTATTAAACTTCAGCAGTTACTGAAAAAGGAGATGACTATGTCATCCTTTCACTTACTAGATCCTTTTCAAACTTGGGAAATCTTAAAAATCTAGTTTTGGCAGTCAGGAAATAGTTTTTCCCTAAAAAATATTAGCCTCTTTTATGCTTTATTGGTATATTTGCTATTTGGTCTAACTTTATATTCTTCTGAAACCTATAGAAGTCATATAGAGTTAATTGACTGGTATTTCAACTTGAAGCCACAGTTTAGTTGGAAGCAGAGAGCAATAATTTTGCCCTCTTTGGTAATTTATGGTGAACATTTTAGTGATTTGGTCAGACATATTTACTATGGCTGCTCTAATTCCTTAGCCGCTTTGTTATGTCTTGATCACTTTGACAGATACTTTTTTGGAGAATGGTAGACAAGCTTATTTTGTGGGATACTAGCTTGGATGAGACATCTGGTGTTGGAGACATCAGTGTCTTGTCTTACCTGTTTTTTTCCTACCCTGGAAAAACGGGTATTTGTTCATTTTGCATTGTTCTCTATAGTATTTTTAAGATACAATCTTAATGCTTTCCAGGACACTAACCACTGCAGCCAACATCCCCAGGAACTTTGTGGGAAGCAGGTGGGACTTATGTCACAAGTGTTTTCCAGACTAAGACCTTAGAGAGGCATTTGCAGCCTTTTTTTAATCATTCCTGTTTTCAGCTGTCCATCATAGCAGCTGATGAAACAGCAGCGACTGCATGCACATGATGGACTACACACAAGAGGAAATATATTTGGAATTAGGTGCAATTAGATTAATCTCTGACATAAACCACTATGAATACTGTTTCTATGCTTCTCAGATATTATATGAGAACTTCTTTTAAAGCCATCTATAGTGTATCAAATTACAGTAGACTCTGGTTCTTGAGAAAACATTAAAACTTCTCTTACATGCACATTCTGTTTCCAACCCACAAACTTGGGTGTTTTGTTTCTTATTGCCTCCCCCTCCCTCTATCATAGGGTTGCTGGAGAAAGATCATTGTGGATGACACTATGCCTTTCGATGAAGAAGATAAGTTATTACTACCAGCTACAACCTGTGAAACTGAACTTTGGCCAATGTTACTGTCCAAAGCCATAATTAAGCTGGCAAATACTAGGTATGTTTTGTCATGCCACTTTCTGTTTGTTTTGTAAAGTCACATGGAGTTTGCAAAAAGTTGTTTTAGTGTATATGGGAAATACATTTTGCTACATATTTTCTACTGAAAAATATACACTTTTCTGAAAGCTGACACCATAAATCAGTAAAACAAACTCCTCTGTAGCTAAGGAAGGTGCAGTGTTTCCTTTAGATGTGTTTGTAAATTTATGCACAGAAAACTGCAAAGAAACTGGAGAACTCTTCTTGTTTTCTTTATGTCATTATTCCTAAAAAGTTTCACATGCAGTTTTTCTGCCAAATTGAAATGTCCAAGAAGTTTTAATCATTTTGGTTGTCATCCTTAACTAGTATTGATTTAACCAGTATTGAAATAGAGTATTGTAAGCTACAGTTGATGTTTTTGCTGCAGTTTTGCTTTTGTGGCCTATTTGGTGATCCACTCCCCTAAAACTGACTTGGAAAGTAGGAAGTGGCCTGTGTTGCAGTGACTGACAATTAAGGCACCAGTCACAGAATTACAGAACATTAGGGAAGGGACCTTTGGAAATAATTGAGTCCAACCCCCCTGCCCGAGCAGGACCACCTAGGGCAGGTCACAAAGAAAATCATCCAGGTGAGTCTTGAAAGTCTTCAGAGGAGGATACTCCACAACCTCTGTGGGCAGCCTGTTCCAGTGCTCCGTAACCCTTAGAATAAAGAAGTTTTTCCTCACATTGAGGTAAAACTTCCTGTTCTAGTTTGCATTCATTGCCCTTTGTCCTATCACAGGGCATGACTGAAAAGAGATTAGCCCTTCTTCCTTGACACCCACCCTTTAGATATTTATATACATTAATAAGATCCCCTCTCAGTCTTCTCTATATTAAACGGCCCCAGGCCTCTGAACCTTTCATCGTAAGGCAGGTGTTCCAGTCTTAACCATCCTGTAGCCCTTCGTTGGACTCTCTCAAGTAAATCCTTGTCCCTCATGAACTGGAGAGCCCAGAACTGGACACAATACTCCAGGTGGGGTCTCACTAGGGTAGAGTAGAGGGGGAAGAGAATCTGACACACTGTTCTTAATGCACCCCAAGATACCACTGGCCTTTTTGACCACAAAAGTGCATTGCTGTCCCATGGATAACTTGTTGTCCACCAGGACTCCAAGGTCCTTCTTCATGTAGTTGCTTTCTAACGGGACATCTACTAATCTGTACTGGTGCATATTGTTGTGCACCAGGTGCAGGACTCTACACTTATTCTTGTTGAACCTCATTAAGTTCCTCTCTGCCCAGCTCTCCAGTTTGTCCAAATCTTGCTGAATGGCTGCACAGCCTCCTGGTGAATCAGCCAATCCTCCCAGTTACGTATCATCAGGAAACTTGCCTGAGGATAGACTGTGTCTGAATTATTTTGAAAATAGTTCAAAACACCGATTTGTTAGTCAGACTTCCCTGTTCTGGTTATATCAAGTTATGTTTGTTGTAAGAGTCATCTAAAGCACTTCTACACAGGCTGGAGTTGCCTAGAAATGCCCATTAGGACTCTGTTTGCAGGAACCGGTTTGAAATACTGTGTTTTGCCAGAGCACAAGGGGCAGTCATGGCCAAGTGCTGACATCCTTCGCCTTGGTCCTCTTAGGATCTACAGACAGAAATCTCTCTAGAGAGTAGGTGACTGTATTGGTTTGAAAGAACGGAGTGTGGTATGCAGGAAATGCAGCCAACTTCTGCATAGTAACCTGGGAGTTAGAGCAGCTGCTTAGGAAATGGAAATTCTAGATTCATATCCCACTTCTAGCACGAGGGACTCAAACCCACATCTCCAGCCCTGCAGAAAGATTCTTTACTGTGTGCTACTATACATAGTATGCTAGCTAACAATTTTGAAACTGTGCTGTTATACTGGAGGGAGCACTAAACTAAAAGACCTCATGCAAAGGCATAAAACTAAATTTGACTTTGTAGGCTAGCAGTCAGCATGGTTTGGAAGACTGAAATGGCAAGTAATGACTTGTTCAGCAAGCTGTTCTGTTTGTGTGTGGTCTTGATCCTACAGGAAGGAATGTAGACTACAGAGTTTACCATGAGTTGGTTATATTGTAATTCTGTATAATGTGTACTTTTGTCTTACAGTAAGGTTGGAACTGGAAATAGAGAGCTGGAGGAATTCACAGTTCTACAGACACTGACTGGATGGATACCAGAAGTTATTCCTCTCCAGTAAGTTCTTATATTAAATGACTTACCTATTAGTCATTTAACATTTAATTCTATAAGTTATCATGAAAAAAAAGCTGAGTCCTAAAAGTCCTGCAGCATCAATTTTGGGAAGTCTATGTTTTTAATTCTGGCACTTGGTAAATATGCCTTCAGTGAATGAAATTTCATTGTGGTTTTTTTTGTAGGTCATACAGTTGCTTGTAAAGCTATTTATCATGTTAAGCTGATGCCTATTATTTATAAAATTATTCAATTTTTAACTAATGTTAAATACTGTGGTGAAAACAAGGTTAGAGAAATCTGTTTCATTTAGTATACAGATACAAAATGTCTGCCAGTAATAATAATTACAACCTTATATCTGAATTCACTATAAAATTAGACATCAAGAATTTGGAAGTGATCAACTTCAGCTAGTATGGTGTTTTCATCTTTTGAATTGCAACAGTTGATATACTTTTATTTCCAAGCCAAAATAATATTTCCAACCTATAATAACTTTTTTTTATGTTTCCTGTGGGTTTTAAGTCTATTCTATAGTTTTAAAGATGTTCTAATTTTGCAGCTGGACATTGTTTTTACTGAATGACCCACTGGGCTACAGGCACTAAATACTTGGACATTTTTTTTAATTGCTCTTGTTTGCCTTTGATACATACATTCTAATGAATACATTGGTAACAAATAGTTTTGGTTTATGTATAATGAGTTTCTATGGACAATCACTATCTCTGCAACTGCCATGTCATATCAAAAAGCAGTTGCAGCTCTGATGGAATCAGTGGAAGAGGCATAGAACTACCTGTGCTGAAACAATTAGGAAAACTAGTTTGGAAGTACCTTTGAGAAGGTTTTTAATGTGCAGAGCCAGAGTCAAGTTATTACACAATGCAGTTGCAAAGTGATCTGCAGATTTCCCTGCTGCAACTTTTATCCACTAAAAAGCTTTAGAACAAATGCTTTATTTATGTGCTCCTCTAACCACCATCTCTTTCTTTATGGATCTATCCATAATCTGTCTTTCAACAAATAGGCTGATACACAAAATAAGGCAAGTCTGTTTTATTTAATATTAAATAAATAAATAATAAATTAACATAGTAACTTTTCTAAGAGTTGGACTGTCAGTTTTAACATAATGTTGTCTACATGAATATTATGCTTTCTTTCCCTCTTCCAAATATCATTATCATTGACGTATACATGTGGGTTTTTTTGAAGGCCTGGATACTTGGACAAAGTCTGGAGCTTTTTGAAAAAGACTGTGCCAGAATTCAAGTTGCCAGATAAGACGACTCCAGAACCTGATATTTCTAAGTCAGATACAAAACCTACAGAGACCAACGTCTCAGAGTTAAAAAATGAAGTTTCATCTGTGAATAAGCATTCAGATAAACCTGAAAAAGCAGAGAAAACTGATAAACATGGCAAAGGTCTGTAATTTTAGTTAGTATCTTTGTAGACCAAGCATAAATAGTTAGCATAACCTCTGGTTTCAAAATTGCGTGTCTTTACTGCAACTCTGTGGGATAGTTGTTGTTTCATTGAACATGTTGCAACGGTGTAAATTAGATAAAGGTTTAACTGTCGATCTCATTAGAAGCAGTAGTAGTCTCTTATGAAAATAGGTTCATTTTATGACAGAGATTTGTTCAGCTCTACGTCACAGCCATTTTTCTAAAGACTGGTTCCTTGCAGAAGGTTAACAACCAGAGAGGTTACAGTTTCCCCAAAGGCAACACTACTCTGACCATCATTAAATTATTAATTTTGCGTTTTGTATTAAAAGCATGGCTACCTACAGATGGTTCTGACAGGTACATTCTGATGGAAATCTGCATTTTTATTTATAGCAACTTTTCTGTTTATGCTACCGGACATTAATTTTCTTCAAGAGCTGCTAATCTTATTTACATTAAAATGAAAGAAAAAAAGTTAAAAACTTATTTGTTCTAGTATATGATTTGTCAATGTTTATATTTCAGGGTTCTTAGTTGTTGTTTTAACTTGAAGGTTTAGATGTAATTTCACAACTACTCTGAAGTCTTTGGAAGGTACAAATCATATACTACAATTTCTATTTCTTCCTAGATTTTTGGAAAAAATCCTTTATTTCCCACATTGAATCCCAAATACTAAGCCCTAATGTGAAAAGTGTAGCAAAAATATTAGAGATTCTTGTTATAATTTTATGACCCACCCACCAGCATAGTAGATTTTTCAGTTTGGAATGGACACTCACAGGGATACAGCCACTGTGAACTGTTCTTCATCTTACAGGGTGTTGTCATTTATTCCCAGAAAACTTTGTAAATTTAATCCTGCCTAAAACTTCAATCTCCAACTCTGAGACTACAAATTCTGTTCAGATGCTCTAGTAATGTTTGGGATTTTTTTTTCCTTAGAAATGCGTTTTTGTATAATCTAAATTCTGAGGGTCAAAAGGTTTTGCCTGTGGGAGACTTTCTTCTTCCATGTCCATTGGGAACCTATGTCTCATTTGTGTTAGAGTTTTTTTGAAATTGCAGATGCACAGGAGAGAGGAATAAAACTTTTGTCAAAGTTCCAGAAACTCAGGAATTCCAAAATTATCTTGACTTGGAATAGTTTGTGGTTGATTTTTTTTTCTTTTTAAAATTTATATAAAATGTCACTAAAGCATCTATACAGTAGGAGACTTTATGACTGAGTTTTTATCTGAAAAATAAAAATATTTAGTCTTTATTTTGTTTAATAGAAAAAGCAGAGCATAAAGAAATGGGAAAAAAGAAAAGCAAAGAAGGAGAAAAAGAAAAGCACAAAGCACATCAGTCTTCACAAATGTTGCCAGAAGCCCAGCATACTCAGGCCTTACATGAAGGTAAGTCCTATTATTTCTAAGCTAAAAATACAAAGAAGAATTACATATGAAGCAAAGGGCTTTGCTTTTATTTGGTTTTGAACTTCATTGGAGGGAAGTTAATTATGCAGGTTTTAAAATTTGTAGTTCATTAACCTATTAAAATCCTGTGAGTTATATTAAGAATAGTATTGCAGTAACTTGTGTTTGGTTTCAGAAGGTAAAGTAAATCTATGCAAAACATTTGGAAGATGATGGCCAGTCATGTAGGACAAAGATTTGTTCTACTGGTAAAATTTCTGTATTAAAAAAAAACCTTTCTAATGTTGTTTTTTTCAATAACTACTGTATTTATTAAATTGTGTTTAGAATAGTTGGAATGCTTCTTTTTTGAAGTGTAGGGGGTTAGGGTGGCCAGAAATCATCTCCAGAGAGTGGCCTGAGCAGTAAAACCACTGTTGTGACAGTAACAACTGAAACTGAGGCTAGGTTCAACATCAGTCTCCAGAAGCAGTAGCTGAAAAAGTTTCTGAATTGTTCTTGGGAATTTTGTAATAGTGACTTTTCTTAATGCAATAGATGTTCTTTGGTTTGGTTTGGTTTTTGTTTGGGTTTTATTTTGTTTGGTTTATTTTTTATTTTAATGTAAGTGGCTGGAAAAATACTTCCTTTCCAGCACGATAAAAGTGCTTGTTTCCCTCCTGCAAGTTTTCACTCTACCTATTGAGTGTGAGGACTTCAGGGATTTGTTCTTTTTCCTGTGAAAAATAAGAAATATTTCTAAAGAAATATTTAACAACTCTTGATATCATTTATATTTTGTTTCTAAAATGGCAAAACTGTTTATTCTTGTTCCTACTGGTGTGTTTTAGCACACAGTCTGCACTTTTCCACTAATCAGCCTTTTCTTCTAGGAAGTATTTATCTATCTATATTATTACCTATAAGAGTCCATTCATCCCATAAAAAGTTTTTATAATTATCAATATGAGCTACTTAGGCTCTTCGTTCCTATAAAGAGCCACTGCACCATTTTCCATTTACGTTTCTGACTTATGATTTTCCTAATCACTTCTGAATTGCTGGAAAGGGTGTACTATTCCATGAGAGAAGGCACTAGCCAGGAATTTGGGAGTTTATTCTACAAATTGGCCATTTGTTTGTGCCTCAACACTAGTTTAGTAGAGATACTAATATTTTCTATGTCACAAGAGACTTCAGAGAATTATGTTTAGAAATTTTGGAGATCGTACAAGCGCATCTGTAATGTTAACCGAGTCAATGAGATATATAACACGTAACTGTAAAGTCCTTTTCATTTTCCTTTAGCCTATTCAAAGGAGTTTTCATTTACAAGTAGGGACCAGAGCCCAATATTTTGTTCTGGCTTTTCTAATTATTATTATAATTCTGCAACATTTATGCCAATTCTGAAAAGGACATGGACTGTTTTTCTGAAGACTAAAAAAATACCCTCCAATAGGCAAAGCTAATCTGTACCTAACTCAACATAGGAGTTTAACATACAAGATGCACACCTAATAAAAAAACTATTGAAAGCCAACTCAAGTGTTTTGAAAAATTAAAATTCAGCATCAGCTCTTGTTTGTCTAATAAATGTTTAAAAAACAAAATAAGATAGAGCAAGAAAATTCTTCACAAATCTGCAAAACCTGTTATTTTTAATATATATATTATTTTATTTTTTAATAAAACCAGTTAAGAACTATTAAAACCAACAGTTTTAATACCCAGCCTTTCTTTTGAAGTGACTGATTATATATACGTTACATGTATCAATTCAAATTATGCTTCCCCTTGTCTCAGAGACTGAAGCATTTGTTCAGATTGTGTACTACTCACTCTCTATAAATTAATTTGCAAAGCTGCAAATGTGAAACATAAGCAGCTACAAGGATTCACGAATTTTTAAGAAAGCACTACAGAATTAAATCCACAATGACGGATATAAATAATAGGCTTTGCTGAATCTGTTTCTTTATACTGTATATTATAATATTTTTCATCTAATAGTACAACTTTATCAAGGCTATTGGTTTTGACTAGTTTCCCTAGATGCTGAATTTGCACAAATCAATGGTACCTTTGGTGGCAAATAGTTTACATACATCCTCCTGATTTTTTGTACCGTGAAAAGGGATCAAATAATATATTCTTTTTAATAATGGCGTAGTAGAATGAGTATTTCTAGTGTTGTAATTATTATTAATTATTATTAAAGTGAATATGGTTCCGTCTGGTTAATCATTTCCATGCTCCAGTAATTTGTTTGTTGCCATCTACTGTCAGCATTGCAAACATTTTTTTTCACAACCCATCTGGGCTGCTTATGACAGCTTTACATTCCACCTGGTATTTGATTAAATACTCTTATTTGAGAAATACTTCTCACAAGCAATGAGATCCGTGTGTCTTATGGAAACCTACTGTTCTGCAGTGTGTAGGGCATCGTAGCTGCTCCTGCTGTATTTGTGAGATCAGATAAGTCAGTAGGGACTGAGATCAAACCTAAATTATAGCCTTGCTTTTGAATAAGTTGGAACTCACAGCTATCACAGGAGCTGTGGTTAACATGGGAATCATAAGCATGCAGAGAGAAATGTTAAGAATCCACTGGAAAGTAACCCCAACACACCATCAGCTTATATTTAATCAAGTAATTGAATTTCTGGAAGAATATTTAAAATGCAGAGATGTCTTACTGCTTGAAAAAAAAACCACAACATTGCATAACTTCTCAATAAAAGGATTTTAAGTCTGATAAATTTTATTTTCTAGCCACCTGCCTCTCTGTCCTTTTCCTTTCTTTTCCCTTTTCTTTTTTTCTTTGTATGCAGACAACATTGTTTTGTTCCATTTCTCAGATAATACCTATTCTTAGAGCAACTTCCAGTTAAATACTTATTCAACATAGGAAGCAATTATCTTGTATTTCAGGTGGAGTTGAAAGGAACAAAGGCAAAACATTCTGATGAAAATCATGTGTCACAACTTGTGTATTGAAATCCTCTCTTCACTTGCTTGCTTAAATGAGGAAAAAAAAAAAATAGAGAGAAATAGGTACCCTTCTTTTGGAGCCTTTAGATCAAACCACAGACCCATAGTCAAGTATTATATTTCCTGAACTTTTAATTTCCTTTCAGCTTGAGTGAACTGGCTGTCAGCCAGACAGTCTTGGTTTGTCTTCATCATTCAGGAACTACCAATGGCTTTTTTCACAGATACAGGTATAAGATGATTGTATGGCTGCTGAGTGCAACAGATTTCTAGAGGTAACAGAGTGTGTCCCCGCTTTTGTGCCTTGTCTATGGCAGAATTACAGGAAAACAAGCTTCTGAATGGTGTGTGGGATAAGACCTTTCTAGTCACCCCCTCACAGACATCATTACCTCCACTTTTCCATCTCCTTGACAGAAGAGCAGTAACCCTGGTTTACAAACATTCTTTCTCAAACTACTTATCTCAATCTTCATATCCATTGGCAGGAGTGGCCAAAGCTCGGGCTCAAATCCTTTTGTTGAAAAAATCAAATTTTGCTTTTGCTCGTGGGAAGAACTGACCCATCACTGTGTTTTTACTTTACATCTGCCTACCCAGATTATGTTTACTGTGTTCTTCACACTAGTATATAGTATTTTTAAAATTTAAAGAAAAATGAAAGAACAATGGTGAGAGCTGTTGCATTTCTAAGTTTTAGTTTCTGTTATTCATTTGTGTAAATGAAGTAAAAGAGGCAAAATTTGTTGGTGGTCTAAATAGGTAAGGATGAAAACAATGTGTTTTTTCCACCCATAGCTTCTCTTCTGAGTAGTTACAATTAACTCTTGTTTTGAATTAAGTAACTGAGTCAGACAAAGAAAAGAGTGATAGAAATCAGGCAAAGAAAACAGAATAATTTAGCGCGAGGCAAAACAATATTTACTTATTTACTGTTTGTTCTAAAGCCTGTTATGTTTTCTCTGTAGACTCTTCTACACCAACCCAGCCAGAAATGGTTGTGTATGCTGGGTGTATACCACTACATTTGTTTGAAGAGGATGTTTTTTCATTACGACAGATGGTAAGATTCTATGCTCTCAGGACAGGAAAGCATTACTTAATTATCAGGGAGTCCAGTTTTGCAGCAACAATGTTATGACAAAAATAATTGAATTACTGTAGTGAAACAATCACTAGGTAATGACCATCAGTTACATTTATATGTCAGTACTTCTGTATTCTGAATGTGCATTTTCCTGCCACAGCCTGCTCATTTTTAAAGTTCTACTCCACATTCCTCTGGATCCCAGGAGCTGAAGTCTCCTGGAAGAGACCAGATGTGGACTAAAAAATGCATCACGATGAGATACTTCTGAATGAAAAGACTAATTTTATGGGTTGCTTGAAAAACATGAATTTTACTTTTTGTTTAATACTACAGTTAGTGACTTCTCTGATACACATTTCCCGATATGTTTTTCTATAAGAAATAGCATCTTTATATCCATTTCTATCATTAGTGTTGTATCTGTCGAAAGCAGCTGGAGAAAGTGTTGCACTTCATGCAGCTGGGGTGAAAGTGATACTGACATTTCTACTTAGTCAGTCACAATCTACTGAAAGCTATTCATAATGCCAGAGCAGGCTTTCTTGAGCTGATAATTATATTTAATTTTTTGTACATTTAAATCTTGTTTAGCATAATTAGAACATTAAAACGTAAGCTGCCTTTTCAGGAAACTGGTAGGTTTCATAGAATAAAGACATTTTCAGAAATGGTTTGCAGGTGTCATGCTTTACTGCTCTGAATTCTCACACTATTTTCATTTTGGAAATCATACTGGGTATTCTATGTTGTTTTGAAGACTAGCTTGTTCTCTGCAATTTTATTTTAACTTAAGGTCTCTGACAGTACTGTCTCTGCTAATAATAGGTGATACCACTCATCCAGAAGCAAACTGGAAACGGTGACACAGGTTTATGTCTTTCCTGGCACCTAAGGCCTTGAGTATCAAACTTTGCTTCAGTTTTTTAATGTATAGAGTTTGCTGAAAAAGAGGCATGGCAGACCAAATACGATGATGCAGATAAATCCATATGTCTAAACCAGTAATTTAGTAAAGACTGATAGAAAAATTGAAGTTGCCAGAAATTAAATGTAGAAGTGTAGTGGTTTTCATGTGGGTTAAAAAAGGCTACTTTCAAGCTTGAGACATACTAATAGAAGTAACTGAAGTTTGGAAGAGTGGATTCACTGGGATAAGATTTGCTCCCTAAATTTGGAGGAAACCTGATAATTGACTGACTTTGAGCCAGAATTTCCTTCCATAATTTTTACTGTATCCCTTTTAGCTTTGCTTTCTATTGCATCTGTCCCTGGCTTGATGTAGCTTGAATTTAATTGTCTTAGATTTACTCAAATAGAATGAAAAAAATCAATAATTGAGTCACTCAAGTCTGTCTCCTACTCAGCAGCTGACAAGTTCTCCTCTATGGTACCTCACGAGTCTTCAAAATCCTTTCGAACCTTGAATGTTTTGACTTGCTTTTTTAAGTTACTTGAATGTGTGTGAACCAAGTCACCACCCCTGTAATATATCTTTATAAATTCAGAGATCAAAGAAGTCTGATATATTGCTTGTGTGTCTTACTGCATTTAATATTATCCTCTCCCTTCAAATAACTCTGACAACCATAACTACATTCTACTCTGCAGAGTTTATACTTACAGAGCATCAGGAACATTTGAGAATGAGCAGAAGCAATCAGGGACTTGTTGATGAGCATGTTGAAAAAGGAAATGATGGGTGATTTATTTAGCAAGTAAAAGAAGGTATATTTTTTAAATAAAAATTATGTACAAATCTTGTAACAGAACTTTCACTAGTGAAAACTATTAAGTACTGGACCATGATTATTTTAACGGGAAGAGCACCACTCAATGTCCAAGTCTAAAATTGCTCTTAAGTCTGTTTCTAAGGTTTTTGTTATACAGGTCAACTGCAGTGCCTTTAACATGTTTTCTAAATTAGCCAGCAGCTAAAAAGCTTAACTTTAATGATGCATTGCTTCAAAGTGATACTGCGTTATGGAGATTTCACAAGTTATCTAAAAGACCAGTTGCTTTTAGAATTATGCTGCTTTATAAATTTAGCATAAAGCAAGAAAAAGTAATTTTATATATGTTTATTTAAAACAAAATGTCACTGTTGTTTTCTTAGCTCTACATTCTGTTTCACTTACATGTTTTCTGTAGCACTTGAGAGAATATGGTTATGTAAATAAGTTGAAAGAAAAAAAAAATCTATAATTAAAAGTAAAGTATATCTGAAGACCTCTATTTTTTTTTCTGCTGAATGTCAAATTCTAATTAGAATTTTTCTAGATAGCCTTGCAATATGACCTATTTTTGTTTCATTTGTTATCTAAGGCATTAGATGCTGTTCCTTTTTTGTGAGAGAGAAATTATGAGGAAGGAGATATGACCCCAGTCAGCTTATCTTTCCGTGTTTCCTAGGCTGATTCTTCAGCAAAGCTGAGGCAATATGGGCTCTCCCACATATATAGCCATCCTGTCCTGATCAACAGAACTAGGTCCTGTCCTCTGGTAGCACCACCAGAACCGCCACCAGTTCCTCGTTGGAAGCTTTTCCGTCTGAAAAAGGAAACTGTTGTGACATCTGAACCCCAAGGTTTGTGTGCTCAAACCTAGAAAAACAATGTGTAATCACCTTTTAATTATTAAAAACTTTTCCAGGGCCATGCTTACCATATTAGCTTAATTTCAATGGAACATCCCTAGGGGTTACTTTTTCCTCTCTATTTTTTATATTTTTTTGTCACTTTTGTATTACTTCCCCTCAGCCCTATTATTTCTTAAATGGTTTGAGAAGTGTCTTAATTTATCTCTAAAAAAGCATGCTAATTGAGAAAATTAAGAGGGAGTGTTATCAAAGCAATGCAGAAGCTCTCTGATGTAGAGCGGTGAAAGCTTACAAGCATTTAAAGTATGTTACTATTCCTACTGCTACAACTCACAGGTTTAGAGGTAAACTTGCTCTAGATTTTGTTTGTACTGCGTAACAGATTTGAATGCATGACATGCAATAGCTTGAGTATGAAAGCATTACAGGCAAGCCAGCAAAATTGTTGTCACCCCTAGTTGTTGTCTTCCATTCAAGTTTATATGATGATACTTGGAGAATTATTTAGGGGTGATGAGTCCCCTACAGACATTATTTGTCAAAATTACAGTATTAATTGTTTCTTACAAATATATATATATATATTTAACAAATTGCTTTTTTTTCCAGAGCCTGTGCTAAAAAAACCTGAAGAATACATTGAAATTGCTAGCTTATTTTTTAATTACAAATTGAATCTTATCAGAATACCCACAGATACGTAAGTATTCAATGTAGGTTCAGCATTAACATCCTATTGTTAGTCCATTTCACTGTGAAAGCACAATGGCGTATGTTTACCTGTGTCACTGGGAAAAAATGCTCAGTAGTTTAAAGCACATCAACATCCGACTACTCTATCGATTTATTGATGTGAGATAATTAATTAGCCATCAATGAATTGTACATTTAGGAACAATATAAAAAGATATAACAGATAAACACCTATGCTAGACCTACTTACAAAATGTCAATAAACACCTATAAACTTCTGAACACTGTTCTGTAACTAATCCCAAGAGCTCCTACTTGAGCACTCAGAGGCACGTGCATGCAACGATACACACGTCCTGGCGCTGAGAGTTACAAGCACAGCTGCTCTTTTGGGAGTTCTGCCTGCACACACCTCCTGCTGGAGATGCAGGTTTGGGAGCTCTAAGTTTATGTGCTGCTCCCTCCCGTCTGCTAATCTACACACTGGTGAGAAAGCCCACCAGGAGGTGGACGTGTATATACCTAAGGGGTGGGTCCCTGCTTGTCACACCCTATCCAGACTGTCCCCTAGGTGGATGCACAGTGCTCAGGGCATCTGACAGTGAAGGGCAGGGAGCTCTGTCAGGCAAAAGCACTTTGCCAGTTACTTTACTCAGCCATAAAATGTCAGTTCCACCAGAAATAGGAATAAACTTTGATGTCTTTCAAATTTTTCTTCAAACTACTGGTCTTTTCAATTCTTGCACCTAACAAGGGAAATCATTAACTGGCCAGTCACTACTTTCATGGGTGTCATATATTTGGCATGGAACAATTAATTTAAGAGTTTATGAAAAAGACAGGCTGTTCTCTGTTCATTACAGTTACAAGAAGCCTGAGAGTGCAGGGGAGGAAGCTTGTGCTCAAAACACAACTTTGCATAGATGTCTTGCATTAAAGACTATTTGGAAGTCCTGTAAGCCCTTGAGGACAAGGTCTTAGAGAAGAAATTTCAGATGTATGCATGACTACTAGACAGTATTCAATATTCAACATAATACTTGCTCACTGACAAGAAAAGAAAGTGGTTTTTTTTGACCCACTGCATAACACAACTGTCAGGCTTCAGTATATGATGTGAACATTTGGTAGACAACTACTAGAATTATTAATATCTTTTTTTATTCTGACTGAACTCCTGAGAGAGGAAACATTGAATGTATCACATACCAAGTGAGCACCAAAAAGTTGATGTTATTTTGCAGGATATTTCTATTATTGAGACTGAGTCCAACAACAATTTTTAAATCGTTGGAGGTGTATAGATATTTTTTAAGGTTTGTACACCTCTTGTTAAGTACATCTCTAAGTAAATTGAATGAATTACATACTTGGAAGGTTCTGCATTTTGGTCATTACGATTGGATTGGTTGAGATTTAATGAGTTAGATTGATTTAATTATCTTTTTTTTGAATGGCAGCATTTGTACATGGAAGAAATTACCTTGTATCATTGTTTTGCTGATACAGTTGAATTTTATTGGTTAAAAATACATTAAATTACATATTGTTTGTTTTCAAATAGTAGGAGTAGAAATACAAAAAAATGCTCTATTTCAAATAGTAGGAGTAGAAATACAAAAAAAATACAAAAAATAGCAGTAACCATTAACAGGTTATTAAGATAATAATATTTTGCACTGTTTTTTTCATATTTAATAGATTGCTTTGTGGTCAATTTACCCCTTTTTGTCAAGGACAGTTTATTTAATATGCTAAATATCCATGACAATCACCTAGTTTAATATCTTGTGATTCAATTAACAGGTAGTAACCAAAAATATATAGAAAGTATTAACATTTCATTAAAGTAATATAGCTGCCTAAATAAGATAAGAGACTTTTAATCTACAATTGGGACTGAAACTGTTTTTAATCTCTAGCTTTTGTTCCAATAAAATATTTGGAACATGCAAAGGCAAGATAATTGTTAATGTGCTACTCCTGAAGATCTTGATATTTCAGTATCTCAGACCTTAAAAAGGGGTCTAGATAAAACAACATGCTTACACTTTTCTCTCTTCTTTATTGTTGCAAAAGCACAGTTACTAATTTATGTCTAATTGGCATTTGCACAACATTGTTTTGATCTCCTAGTTCACTTAGGAAGCAAGGAATTATTTATATTTCCATCAGTTATTACTTCTGCCTTGACTGAACTCAGCAACAGAATTCTTTTTTAATACAAGAATAGGCCTTGCACAGGTTTCCTTGGTTATCCTGAGTTTTAGCTGTCTGGTAGCTATGGAGACCTATTTTGAGGGAAAAGACAAAAACTATTCTAACACAAAACACTTTTTTATGCCCTACCTCCATTTAAGTAGCGCACATGATACATTTTTTTCTGGTCTAGAGACCACAGATATATTCAGTTGTGGCATTATAATCTAGTTTTCTTCAGCTGACTTGGGTTTTGCTTTTTTGAGGGTCAGGCAGAAAGGCAACGGTTCAGATCTTTTGAGCATAGGTATGTGTGTAGTGCTGAGCCAGTTATTCTAAGGAATTATGCAAATGTATATTTTGTGCTGCCCGTTTAAGCTTTCAAAACAAAGGAGGCACAAATTATTTTGATAAAAATGTTGCTACAAATGGTAGTTATGAAGACTGTCATTTGAAAGTAAATGTATGGATTACAGTGTTTGACTTTTTATTTAGCCGCTTTCCACAGTCTACCATCAAAAAAGGATTTCAGTCCATATCCTGTCTCCCTTCTGTTACTGAAAGTGATGAAAATGTAAATGACAGTAATGGGGATCTGAATCAAGCTGGGAGTAACTCAAATGCCGAAGATTATTCTCAGGTAATAGTTTTCTCATTATTTTTTTTAAACTTGATCTAATTTTATATTTTAAAGGAGATTGAAAGACAAAAAAAGAAAATAGTTAACACGGAAATACAATTTTTAAAGACTTCTTAGTAAGCCTTTTCCCCCCACTATTTCAGTAATTTCTCTACCCTTTCCCCTTTATATGTATATTGATGCGTACTGGATGGGAAGTCTTTCCTAATACAGAAACTTAAACATTCAAATAAACAGACAGACCTCCACTGAAGTTGTTTTATTCTATACACATTGCAGCAAACACTGCTCATAAGAGCTCCTGGTAGCATATCTCTAGGCAATACACAAATGCTTTCAAGAAAGTTAAACTCAAAATCTGGATCTAAATCAATACACCAATTAAACTTTGGAGAAGATGTATTCTGAATTTGTAAATGTTTACTGTAGTTTTGCTCTCTACATTTCTTTTCTGTCCCAAGTAAAGGATGAGTGCTTCTTCTATATCCATTACATTCAACGTGATTGCAATATTGAAAATAATTTAAAAGAACTTATGAAATTTATTCATCCATAGTGCTGCATAAAGGAAAAACATCAGCAAAGTCCTTATCTGCACAATCCCGTATTAAAAATGAATAAATGAATTTAAAATTTCTACTGTTCTGGGACAAACTAATAAGTATATTTAAGGGTAACATGGGGTTCCAAAATGTGTTTGAAGACCAAAGGCATACTGTTAAGGATAGTAGTAGATATTTTCAAATGCAAGGAAGACATAATTTAGTTTGGTAAAATTTGAAATAAAAGGGAAATAATTTTCTATGTAATTTTGGGAGATGTTGTTTATATGTTTCTTCTTCAGAGTAGACTGTAATACCTTTATTGTATTTCAGATCTGACAAGCGGTTGTTTTAACTATTGTATATATAATGTCTGTACAGAAAACGTACACGTATGGATATAGTTGCTGGATATTTATTTGTTTAAAATAAGGTAATTCTATAGTGAAGGAGATTTCTTTGCATTAGGATATATTTTTAGCTAGTCTGTATTTTTTGTAAATTTTATAAACAATAGTTTAATTACTAATTGATGACCTTTTTAACATCTTCTTAGTAATTGCAACTTATTAAAATCATTACAAAAGCAGCAGAGCAGAAAGGAGTTGTAAGTAACATCTTACAGTCTGCAACTATTGGCTGCATGACTTCAGTCTCTCTAGCTGTACAAATATAAGTTTAGTTAATTACAAATTATTAAACCTTTATGTGGTGGAGGCATAAAAGTAGTTTGAAACATCACTTTGATTTTCTCCCCTAGTCCAAGAGTGTAAAAACCGTGTGACTGTAGAAAGCTGATCTGTCACAGTAGGACATCCAGTCAAGGAGAGACGATACAAGAGAGAGACATTGATGAAACTAAATGGTTGGAAGAAGACATGAGTGAGACTTAGTCTGAGGGCAACCTGATACAGACATTAAATGTAAGAAGTCATGAGCAGCTCATTGACTTAGTTTTGCATCAGTTTAAATCTCAGCTCA